TGTGCTCGGCACGGAATCCGCACTGCTCTCAGATTAATTGGTTTTCTGAAATTCGTTTTTGAAGGCGGTAGAGAAATAGTTTTTCTGTTAGTTTGGAAATAGTGGGAAGCTAGCTTCGATACGGAAATGTACGTTACCGAAAATTTAACAAAACCAATCTTAGGAAGAACAGCCATGTTAAAGTTAAATGTTCTCAAAACAATTTATGATACTGTCTCCCCCATAAGTATATCGGCGAACATTGCAGATCCTGTCTCAATGAAAAAAACAAATTTTGGTAGAATTTCCAACATTATTCAATAGCGTGGGACAGTTTAGAACTGACTTAAAAATTGAAGTCGTCAAGGGCTTTTTTAAAACCACTAAAAGAATAACTAGACAGATTAAAAAAATTGGACATAATAGAGTCAGTGGATTATCCTACAGAGTGGGTTAGTCCAATTGTAGTGATTCAGAAAAACAGGAAAATAAAGCTTTGCGTCGATTATGCTCATCTCACTAAAGCCGTTCTAAGAGCTCATCATTCCATAGGCAAGGCAGAAACCATTTTGGCAAAAATTTCAGGTTCAAATTATTTTTCAAAATTGGATACTAATTCCGAATTTTATGAGATAAAATTGAGTACAGATTCACGACTTTTAACTACTTTTATAACCCCTTTTGGTAGATTTTTCTTCAAGCGACTTCCTTTTGGAATTACTTGCATCCTGAATATTTTTCATATCTTCTTAACTAAATCTTATTGGGCATAGAGGGTGTAGTAAGTCACATTGATATCAGTTTCATACATGCGCCGACCTTAGATCAACATAATAAAATATTGAGTGAAGTTCTGAAAAGAATTGGACAAGAAGAAATAACCTTAAACGAAGATGAATGTGTTTTGCAGTACAATCTTTAAGCTTTTTAGGTCATAAAATCTCTAATATGGGGATATCGGTGGATCCCGGAAGAATCCAAGCGATTTCTAAATTTCCTGAGCCAAAAAACAAGTAGGGAATTTTACAATACTTAGGAATGCTCAATTTATCCAGAAGATTTATCCCTAATCGGTCGGAACTTTTAGAGCCCTTAACGTCTCTGTTAAAGAATAATGTAAGTTTCCTATCCTCCTAGGATGATCCTCAAAAAATAGCTTTTAAAAAATCAAAGGAAATACTTTCGAATGCCCCTATATTAGCTTATTTTGACCTTACTAACCAAATATAAAGTCAAGCAGATGCTTCTTCATATAGTTTGGGGGCTTGCCTAATGCAAACCTCTGAGGCAAAACATAAATTATAGCCTATGCTTCACGATTATTGTCTGCAACTGCAACGTGGGCGACTAATAAATTTTCTGAATACGTCACAGGTCTACCATCTTTTTCACTCGAAACAGATCATCGACCTTTAGTACAGGTTTTACAGACTAAACCCTGAGGCGAATTTACAACGCTTCCGACTACGGTTAATGCGCTTTAACTATAAAATTCTCTATACCCGGGGAAAATATCTAGTTATCGTGGATGCGCTGTCTCAAAATTTTTCCGAACAAACTGAAGAACCGAAGGATGATGAATTAGTATCCGAAGCCACAGAACACACAAAATTAATTGTGCAGTCAATCGAAGTAGAAACGTACTTCTTTGAACAAATAAAAGAGGACCAAAGTAAAAAACAAATTTTATTGAAAATAATACAATACAGAAGAGAGGAATGGCCAAACAAAAACACGCTAAGTTACGAACTAACTTCCTATTACCAATCCCGGTTTGATTTTTCAATTTCGGAGGGTGTATTGCTCCGTGTTGTCATTACCCATACATTGCAACTACGAGTGTTAAAAACTCATACATGACGGACACTTCGGAATTGGTAAATGCCGAAACCGTGCCTAATCGTCTGTTTGGTCACCAGTATTGTCTACTCAGATCGAAAACCTTGTTCGAAATTGTCCACAATGTATTGAACATAGGTCTAATCCAAAAGAGCCGATGTTAATTGATGAGTTTCCCGACAGACCTGGGCAAAACGCTGCTATGGATCTATATAAATGCAATAATTTATGGTAACTATTGATCAATTAAAGCAAGTTTTTTCGCGGTATAGTATTTGTGAAATCATGCGATCGGACAATGGCCCGAAGTATTCGAACGAATTGCTAAAATTTGCCAAAGACTATGATTTTGAATTAATAACAAGTAGTCCCATTTTTCCTCTATTCTATGGTTGCGTCAAGGCTGCAGTAAAAAGAAAAACGACGATATTTATCAGGCTCTATTATCCTATCGAACTGCTTCTTTGGAATGTGGGTTTTCGATAGGTAAACTATCATATGGTAGAAAGATTAGATCAGTTCTTCCTATGATGTCACGTCAACTCAATAGCCGAGTTGATTTACATTTCTTAAAAAAGAAAGGGAAAGTAAGTCTATGGATAAGAGCGCCAAACAATTTAATAACAGACACCAGGCAAGAAATTTGTCCGATCTAAAGATAAGAGATTATGTCTAGGTAACTGATCTCAAAATATATGCGAAGATAATAAAATACGCTCATAAGCCGCGTTCATATATTATAGAGTCTAATTTATGATATGTATATCGAAGTAATAGGTGGCATCTAATACCTGCCCCTTATTATACCCCACCAAATCAGTTTACTCAGACATTAGTTCCTTCCGAATTTTCTTCTAATAATTCAGTGTTATCGAGCAAGAAAATATCGGAGGTGGCGAAAGAGAATCTTCAATCGTTTGTGTACCTAAATCACCCACCGTATCTATTCCCAAGGTATCCAAGACTGTTGAAATTCTAAGTCCGTTGAGACCAAAAAAAAACAGAAAATTACTTTCTTATTTACAAGTCTTTGTTAGGTAAAGTTTTTTTTTTATAACTAAGAGAGTTGGATGTTCTGTTAGTAAATGGCTAGATAAAGTTTTTTTTGTTAGACTTAGTTTTGTTTATCTTAGAGAGGGGGATGTTGTGTTAGTATGTAGCTAGTTTTAGGTTCTGTGGATGTGAAGTGCTTTTAGGTGAGGATTAAAATGATTATAGAAGATAATTTTAATGATAATTTTAGGTGAGGATTAAAAAAAAATAAAAACTGTGGATGTGAAGTGCTTTTAAATGAGGTTAAGGAGAGCCGAGAAGATGGCGGAATCAGTGAGTGGAGTTAGTGAATAAACGGAGTTTACTAACGAAATCAACTCTTTAATTAAACAAATCCATAACAAAACAAAAACATCACATTATTCATAAATACTAAATAAGTTTAAATAATCTTCGTTTGTATAATTTAAGCGTCCGGGCATGATTATTCATTATTTTAAAAAGGTAACTGGCAGCTGTCGGCATTCCTTTGACATATGATTGTATTAAAAATGGCCACTTTCGTCATGACAATTAAGAGTGACAGGATTTAAAAGAAGACGCTACAAAGTAACCATATGAAGACATGAAATCGGCAATATTTCGAAAACTAAACACTTTTGGAATAGACATCGTTACACAAACTTACCCTTATTTTTATTACTGAATATGACAAAATTATCCAAAATGGTGGTTTCCATTTGGAATTATTGATTTTAGACGGTTCTCTCAACTGTAATTGGAAATTTATTTTTTTAACACTTCGTACTAATAATTTTCAAAACGTGTTCGAAATTCCATTAAAGCCAGTCCTTTTCAACAATAAATGCGACTAAAATTTAGTATGAAAAATTCCCTTATAGGAAAAATGAATACTTATTCGAGTGGCTGCAACTGTCATTTTTACATAAAATTCCAAATATTTCAAAACGGATAGACTTGGCTACATGATATTGTATAAGACATATATTTAGAACTTGGAGTCGAATTCAAAAATGTAGTAATATATGGCGTGTTCCATTTAAAATGAGCAAGTTGATACCTACTTATGGTATAACCGGAAGTGTGGCCATTTTGATAATATTGCAGGCCGCTTGCCGCCAGTCGCCTTGGCACGCTGTCCAATTTTCAAACTTCTCCTAATTACAATTTTCCATATATCTATCGCAGCGGTTTCCGGTGAGACACCCTGTATAAGCAAATCGTAAACCTAACGAAAAATGTAAAGACAACCAACCAGTGATCATAAAGTAAGGGATTTATTTCCATTTAGCATATATCATATATCATATATCAACATTTCAATTTAAAGTTTCGTCAGCAAGACTTAAACTAAATAATCGACTAAATGCGTTCAAATGAAGCAAGTGTAAAAACGTCCTAAAAATAATTAAAACCTACAACAAAAAACCGGCAAATAAGAAAGCATATTAGATATATCCATTTCGTCAACGCATTATGCCAACCGATACATTGCCCTCTTGAAGCTGACTGTCAAACTCACGTTCAATCTTTATTCTAAAAATCCAGAGTTTTTCAAAAGATGTCTTTATTTAGTTTGTTTTTTTAATTGTCACTCTCCCATGCCGAATTGCGCATTATGGACGTATCGACGATGACTGTTTAAAGCGCCCTTTCTATTGAAAGTAGCATTGCAAATGGTGCATTCAAAGGGTCGATTGCCCGAATGAGACGTCATATGGCTATCTAGATTTTGTTTTAGTGAAAACGCTTGGTTGCAAATATTGCACATGTATTGTTTTTCCTGTGTATGTATATCTCGATGTTCATTCAGCTGATCTTTCCGCCTGAACGTTGAACTGCATAAATCACTGGCATAAGGGCGATCATCTGAAGGCATTTGTAAATGCAGATATAAATCTCCCGCTGTTTTCAACTCTTGCTCAGAAATCATGCAATCGTGCTGCGTTTTTTTAAAATGTTCTTTTTGATGTTGACCCAGATCACTTACCGATTTGAATCTCAAGCTGCAAATGCTGCATTCGTGAGGGCGGTCGTCTGAATGATACTTGATTTCTTGAGTATTTAACGATACATTTGCCTCAAGCTCTAATCCGCAAATCGTGTTTTCTAGAGAATTAATTTCCGAATGTTCGTTAGTATGAGCATTAAAATCACCTACCAAGACAAACGTTTCTGCACATACGTTACATTTGTAGTCTTGTAATTCTTCTGTAGCATTTGTGCTCAGCATTTGCATATTTTCATCGTTTTCTAAATCATCGTCGACTTTGAATATGAGTGTATCATCAGTGTCTCGTCACTGGCATCTTTTACTAACTTTGCCATATGCGACAATGTATGTTCTTCGGTTTCACTTTCTTCATTCAATTCAACATCAAACATGTGTCTAGTATCATATGGACATCTACAAATAAAGAAGCATGCATACAAGCGCCGTTTTTGCCTTATTATTTCATAAACATAATTGGCCACGCTCATCCGACAATTACGGCATCATTATCAATGCCCACCAAGGGAAGCAACAAGTCATATTGAAAACAGGAAATCAAAATAGTGAAAAAGTCAATAAATTCAAAGTACAACGGAAAACAACAGCGCATACATTAAAATGTTTCAGAAACGTTAAAAAAATGTAGAATAAATAAGATTGATTAACAGAAATTATAATTACTTTCAACTGGTCATCAATAAAGTTAGGAAGCCAGGCAGAAACCACTTAATTTAAGATGTTGGTTGAATATTTTAAAAACACTTCTTGGAATTCAAGTTAGTATTAACTGATTGGGATTCTGCGTTTTATTATAGGGTGTTAGCCCGCATGATGGGCCAATTGAATCTCATGCTTAATCTACGGATTCAGGTGCATCTGTCATAAGACTGGCAACATCATTGACAATTCAGGGTTCATGTTGAAATTGTCAAATTCCTGATCTCCTACGATGTGTCCAAATTGCTTATACTTACGATTTATTTTCTCTAAAGAGGAGAAGAAGAGGTCGAGTGTAAACTGTGGTACGAAGTGGAAGTGTGCTATAGATATTTAAACATTGTTAGTAGCGAATTATTCGAGAAATTTTACGAGATTACGATAGGGTTTACGAGATAAGTGACATGAATTCCGGAACCTCACAGGAATCGGAGTGATACCAAGCCTCTCACGACGGATATTTTCTCATACGAGACGAGAATAAGAGCCAGTATCATATCTACGCCCCCTCGACGGAGAAAACACAGTCGTTCGTCCTGAAGGGGTTAGACGGGAATGTTGAACCGTGTGCGATTAAGGAAGATCTGACGGACAAAGAGCTGGAGGTGAGGAGTGTCTTCAAAATTAAGACACTGTTCAGGCCGCTCTAGCTCCAAAAGCTGAACGCCGAGGCGAGGGTGGTGTGCAGGGTCAGGGTTTCATGGGAAACCCGCAAGAACCGGAGTACTCTCACGCAGTGTCGTCGGTGCCAGGGCTCGGGCCATGTCTCCGGAAACTGCCGCCGGGACTTCCAATGCTCTCGATGCGCCGGGGGTCATGAAATCACCGCCTGCCCCGCTGGGTCAGTCCTAAAGTGCGGCAACTGCGGTGGGCCTCATCGTAGCTTTGACGAGGCCTGCCCAGTCTACCTGTTTAAACAGGCACAAGTCCCGGCGGAGAGGCAGCGTTTCGTTCCTGCTCCTCTTCCAACGAAGCCAGCCTGGGGTCAAAACAGCCGAGCACCTGGTCCGATCCACCCTCCACCCCTAAGCAGCAGGACCATGGCGCCAAGTCAYKCSAACAGGACCATGCTGCCCCCGCCACYGCCTTCACTAACGGAGTWTCYTCCGCTGAGGCARYACAAARCTRTCCCGACGAGCTYTRCCCACCCGGCCCATGGTATAAATGGGAACGCGGTGGCCATGCTGGGCAGTGTCCAGCGGGAATTCGCCGAGCTGTCGACGCAGATCAACTTGCAGGAGGTAATAAAAGCGGTTCGTTTTGATAGCGCTGCATTGAGGGGTTGCGCCTCGAAGACRGAYAAATTCMTAGTCTCAGCGYAGTTCTTCAATGAAGATATYAACASCTTCGATTTTTAAATATTGATATTGTTAACTGTGYCCTRTGAGGATTGGGGAATGGAACTCATGTGGACTCCGGAGTCGTCTCGGCGAGTTCGAGCAGTTCCTCGCGTCTGAGGACGTCGATGTGGCGTTAATCGTGGAACAATGGTTGTGCCCCGGAGACAGAATCAGAATACGGGGGTACAGGCTCGAGCGTGCCGATAGGCCCGGTCTAAGAGGTGGGGTGGCCATAGCGGTCAGAGCAACGATCCCATAGAGGAGACTGCCATGCAGGCAGTCAGTAATAGAGAACGTTGACGTAGAGCTTCCTGATGGTGCTCTGATCTACTGTGGGTACTCTACTTCTACTCGCTTTCAGACCCTGACGTTGATCCATTTTTTTCAAACACCAATAGGGTGTTGCTTATGCGAGATTTCAACGCCCGCCATCCACAATTTAATAACGCTGGACGGAAAAACGCAGCTGGAAATTTTCTAGCCAGCTACGTTCGCGACAATGGCCTACATGTTATGCCCACAAATTCTCCAACTAACTATCCAAGCAATGGAAGGAATCCATCCTTCCTTGACTTTGGAATTGCCAAAGGACTCACCAATCTCACGGAGATGGTGGTTATAGACGACCTCAGCAGTGACCATTTGCCCATTTACCTCGACATTAGGGATTTAAATCGCATACAACCTAACGACTTTCGATATGCATACGATAATTTCGATTTTTGCGAATATCGAAAAAACCTACAAGACCTGATCCGTATTCCGAACCGTATCGATACTGTCGAGGCTCTAGAGCTTGCAGTAAAAGGTCTGGCAAAGAATATGCAACGGACACAGCAAGCTTTGCCGAAAAAAGTCCCGAACATGCCGCGGCGTGACTACCTTCCTGTGGAAATTTTGGACCTTATTAAGGCGGAAAATAGAATCCGGAAGCGTTGGCAGCGATTCAGGCAATCTGCTGATCGTATAAGGGCAGCAGAGCTTGCACGAGACATCCAGAGCGAAATTTCCGCATACAGGAATTTTACCTCGGCGGAAAAATTCCCGTTACAATTCTTTGTGAAAACTGTCG